AAGTAAAAAGTAGGAGTACAAATAGCGATATTTTATAGAACTTTAATTTTAGGGAAGCTTGATTTAATCATGATAAAAAAGTATCGGACTAAGTTGGGTGCGTTTTCTTCGAGGGAAACTCGTAAATATACAACTATTTTTATTTCTAGGGTGAGTAAAATCTCAATACTTCATTTAGGCCTAATTAACATTATACATTACTTTGTTAAACTTAAGTTGGATTAAATTTTGGTTAGAGGTCATAAGTCATATTAAAAATATGCTTTCGTATCAATTTACCCTCAGTAATATAGTTTCTCAACGACCTGTTTAGATAGATCTAGACGCCAACACATCGCTGCGTATGGCGAATATGACTGAAATATGATTTTTGGATAAGCTTTGTGAAAACTAATTATCAGCTGGTTCTTTAGAATTTTTTTTTTCAAGGAAAGCTGAGACCATTTTAAACAATTAAAAGCTTCTGACTTTTCTCGGGATCGTAACGGAAATATTACGGGTCTGGAGTGTGTCCATAAATCAACAATCCCTACAAAACCATAGCTATTACTGTAATCGGCCTGTCAACTTGTCCAACTTATGATACCTTCGATGGAGCTTAACTAGACAGGAATGTCCATATGTTAGTATTAGATGAGGATTTTCCATCTACAAAGTTTCGAAGGAAACACTGATGAAAGAAACGATGATTTTAAGTAACAAAAACCCTAACTCAGTCAGTAATCGAACGCCTGATACCTTAAATTTAAGCTACGCATCAAACTAACCAATCATATTTTGGCCAATCATATTATAAAGTGACCACTACAAGCCAAACTCGTAATTAACTTGACCGGCGAACTAAACCTGATCCATTGAGAGGAACGCAACCTCCAATTCGTATTGAATACGCAGATCGTTGTTTAGACTCGTTCGGCTGTTACAGGTGATAAATTCAGCTTTTGAAGAGGGAATTCGGGTTTGATAGGTTGGCAGCAATGGCAGCCTGCAATACATGCGATATATGGAGTGATTGTGACGTATGGTGGTATCAGTGTTGCCTTGCAGGGATGAGCCGATCACAAATATCCCTATTTCTGTAATAAATGTACACCACTTTGCTGTCGCGATATGGTACGTGGAGTGTGAAGTTTTATTCAGTTTGTCGCGAATTTTGCTGAGCTATCAGTATCACACGGGTGAACTTTATCGTGAAGAAAGTTAGGACTTAAACAATAAAGATGTTCTCGCGATAAATTACTCAAAAGAATTATAAAATGACTCAATGTAAAATTAATTGTTAAATTACGATTATAGATACTTGTGTTGGTAACAGAAAATTGTAGGGGGCTTCATGTATGGAGGAAAATGATTTTAACCTCTTTCAGCACATATTTTTCCGTTATGCCAAGTGCTTCTTGAAATGACACTGTGTGTACTTGTAAGGTACACCCCTACATACATATTAGACAATAATGCATTCTGCCAAATCGTTAAAAAGTTAAATGTACAAATGCGTTAAATATCCGTGTTTTTGGAAAACCAATGTGTCCCTGCAAAAAAAAACAAAAAACTATGCAACTTGAAGTCGAAAGAACGCTAGTGCAAATTATTGTTTGATACTGCTCTACTTCCTTGGTACAAAATATTCCAGTGTATCCCAAGATTAACCAAATGCGTCGTCGGTTACAAGTCGGTCCCTAGGGGGTGCTGGAGTCAGAGAAGCGTGGAAATACGTAAATCACGTGTAGAAATACGCTGAGAGCGAGATATTGTACATACGCAGTCCACGCACGTACACACTACAACCGACATACGTCTCACACGCACACGCACCGTGTAACTTCGTTACTGAATCGTCTACTTGATACGTTTACTTTGTACGGATTAGTCTTCTTACTTTTCTAGTGTCTCCAAAGCTTAGAAAGTACAGTAATTAGTTTTTTCCCGTTTATTGCCATTGGCGTTTTTAGAGAATGAGTAATTCAACTGCCAAATGGTAAATGCAATCTGCATCCAGAATCGACACTGACTTGTATTGAACTCTCATATTTGAAGGCGAACTCTCTGCTTAGACAATTGATAAATTAATTTGTGTATTCCCTCATGCATCTAACTTTTGTCACACTTTAAAGAAACTTTAAGGTTACTTTTGCTTCTGTTCGTAACACAATAACCCAAAGTGAAACTGTTGTTTGAAACTGGTTGTCTGATGATTGAAGTAAATATCGTTAAATGATATAATGCACAAGACAAAAACATGTTTACAAAAACCTCTAGATACCATACATTTTTTCATGACTTTGTAGCTCTTGTTTTTAAGTTATCAAAAGGAGAGGTGATACAAAGAAGTTTAGACTTTCCTCATGAATTAGTGTTTTCTTTTGGAAATTAATTTTATGTATTCATTTTAGCGTCTGAAAGTCAGCTTTGTAAAGACGGTGACACACTATCGATCTTTTCCCCGAACAAGACCCCGAACCGAGCAGGGAGAAGGGAGAAGGGAGGTCGAAGGGAGGATGTTCGATAGTGTGTCACGGGTCCGTACACCGATCAAGACGCCGAACAAGACATCAGGCCGAGCAGGGAGACGAGCGCTCTGGAGGCGGTTTTTTGGCGAAAGATCAAAGAAAAGATCGGTCCGATGTACGGTCCGATGTACGATAGTGTGTCACGGTACATTTTTGCCCCGTACATCGTCGCGAGCGCCGCACCGAGCGGCCGCCTGCGCTAGCATTGATAGTTCCGCGCTCTCACTCGCACACACTCTCTATCTCTCTCAAAACTTCCTGTTGCCGCGCTCGGTAGAATTCGTCTGGTCTTGGTCATGTTCGGGGAAATGTTCGGAGTAAAATTTTGCTGATATTTATCTCCCTTCTCCCTTCTCCCTGCTCGGTTCGGGGTCTTGATCGGGGAAAAGATCGATAGTGTGTCACCGCCTTAAGGGTTCGAAACTGGACTCAGCTGGTATTGATGATTGACATTTTAAGCTAAGGAAACAAGCTGATCTTAGTCAGCAAAGCTACACAAGGCATCTTTCTCCACTTTACACCCATCCTTCACTCATATTGTGTTCTTGAAACTATCAAATACTAACAATAAAACACCTTGATTTGGATCGAAACACAATCTAGTTCGAGTTTAGACCCAGTTATCAACAGGTAACAAACCTTGTCACAAATGACGCACTCATGCTGGATTTTACATCATCCAAGCTGAGCTATTTTGACTGTGTGTCGCCCACAAAAAACCTCGAGGTTGGACGATAAGTTATTCCCAGCGGGGTCTACAGGAAGCCAAGCCTCCAGATAAGGGTTGCGGGGGGTGGGGAGGTCCCGGTCGGGAATTTCGGGTTATCAGAGGTTATCCTGGAGAGGGGACAGTCTCTGGGGTTACCACTAATCTTCGTCGACGTTCAAAATGTTGGAATCGATAGTGTTGTCGAGGTGTGTATTTACATTTCACCACATACCTTAAAACTTAAAGTAGTATTCAAATAGTGCTAAAAGTGTTTGTTCATTGGGCTAAAATGGTTCTGGCTGGCTGGTTTTATAAGTAACAAAGCTTCGTAAAAGCATCTCACTTATTTTTCCACTTATCATTTACTTACAATTGAGTAAAAATACGCCAAGTTAAGTAAAAATAATAGAATAGTTTAAAAATATAAATTTTGTAATTTACACGATTATTTCACGCGAAAATCCCGTTCTTCATTTACCCTGTGTCAATTATGCAAAGCCATCAGTGTTTGTTTGTTTTCTAACTTCAATTTCGTATGTTTCAGAGGAGAACTCGTTCCTCTTTGTACAGTTCTTGATAGTGGCAATAATCTACCCTGACACTTTGGGACAAGAAGTACAGTTAGCTTAGCTACAATTTGACACCCATCCTTAACCATTCGCTTGTCACTGTTTCAGGAGGAGAACTAGTTTCTCATTGTACAGTTCTTGATAGTGGCAATAATCTACCCTGACACTTTAGGACAAGAAGTACAGTTCTCTAGCTTAGCTACAATTTGCCACCCATCCTTAACCATTCGCTTGTCACTGTTTCAGGAGAAGAACTCGTTCTTCTTTGTACAGTTCTTGATAGTGGCAATAATCTACCCTGACATTTTAGGGCAAGAAGTACAGTTATCTAGCTTAGCTACAATTTGACACCCGTCCTTAACTATTCCCTTGTCGCTGTTTCAGGAGAAGAACTCGTTCCTCTTTGTACAGTTCTTGATAGTGGCAATAATCTACCCTGACAGTTTAGGACAAGAAGTACAGTTCTCTAGCTTAGCTACAATTTGCCACCCATCCTTAACTATTCCCTTGTCGCTGTTTCAGGAGAAGAACTCGTTCTTCTTTGTACAGTTCTTGATAGTGGCAATAATCTACCCTGACATTTTAGGGCAAGAAGTACAGTTCTCTAGCTTAGCTACAATTTGACACCCATCCTTAACTATTCCCTTGTCGCTGTTTCAGGAGAAGAACTCGTTCTGCTTTGTACAGTTCTTGATAGTGGCAATAATCTACCCTGACATTTTAGGGCAAGAAGTACAGTTATCTAGCTTAGCTACAATTTGACACCCATCCTTAACTATTCCCTTGTCGCTGTTTCAGGAGAAGAACTCGTTCTTCTTTGTACAGTTCTTGATAGTGGCAATAATCTACCCTGACATTTTAGGGCAAGAAGTACAGTTATCTAGCTTAGCTACAATTTGACACCCGTCCTTAACTATTCCCTTGTCGCTATTTCAGGAGAAGAACTCGTTCCTCTTTGTACAGTTCTTGATAGTGGCAATAATCTACCCTGACATTTTAGGGCAAGAAGTACAGTTATCTAGCTTAGCTACAATTTGACACCCATCCTTAACTATTCCCTTGTCACTGTTTCAGGAGAAGAACTCGTTCCTCTTTGTACAGTTCTTGATAGTGGCAATAATCTGCCCTGACACTTTAGGACAAGAAGTACAGTTCTCTAGCTTAGCTACAATTTGGCACCCATCCTTAACTATTTTCTTGTCGCTGTTTCAGGAGAAGAACTCGTTCCTAAACTACAACGTCTCGTGTATTCTCACTCTGCCACCTTACCAGAGACAAGGCTACGGAAGGCTACTCATCGACTTTAGTGAGTACAAATCAATTTACTAATTCTATTTTTGTTATGTTTATATATAGTTTTATATTTTTTATGAAGCTAGTTTGGATCCAAACCAGTTTTATTGTTTCGTACGATATTCGTCTGTCCACTAATTTCACTGGGATGAGAATGAGTTTTGAGTGAGTCAGACGGTTTTGCTTGCGTTTTAATTGCCATGTCCGGCTTTGCGCGAAACTGTATTGTGTACCAATTTGTTGGATATTACACCAACCTTATATCGTAAACTTAATGTGAAATAAGATGTTTACATGGTACTTTGCTGTATTTTTAGCGAATTTCCCATATAGGGAATAAGCTATTACCGTAGGTCTCATGGTAAGACCTGGACCCGGGACCGATTTAGTTTTTCGTTTTGAGGTCCCCAGAGGCCAAAAACACCATCCGTTCAAATTCATATATATATATATATCTTATATATTTATATATGTGTCCGTTAGCGCGATAACTCGAGCAAAAATGATCCGATTTTGATGAAATTTGGCATAAACGTGTAAACCTACATTTATTCGAACGAGTTCGCGAACCAGCATGATCGGACTATGGGAACAGGGGTTTATGGGGGGTTTTATGGGGTAAAAATGGGTTTTTCTAATTTTTCACCCTGAAAACATAAAATTTTGCAATTTCTTTCTAAACCATTTTGTAGAGCTAAAAAAAAACAAATAATTTAGTATATTGAAGCATTGTTGCATGCCTAACGGTTACGGAAAAATCGCAAAATAGTGTAAATTTAAAATTACCATGTTATTCTTATGGAGAATAAATACAGTGTTGTAGCTTGCTTGTCTATGGACATATCTTAATGAAAATTTGAAATTTTGTTTACTTCATACTAAGCTATTTATATTTCAATAAAACCCCCCTATTTTCTTCCCTGTAGCAGCAAACCTAAGTACTCATTAATATTAATGATATTTAAATAGGAAATAAATCTGACAATTTTAAGGGAATAATTTAGTGGAATTCCAGATGTGGAGATGGAAATTCGCTTAGTCTGCAGGTTTGCTGCGGCGGGGGTATTTTATTCTTCAACCATGTTGGGTTTTCAACAATGACTTTTGGAAGTAGGGGAAGCAGCCGTAATTCATATTTAAAACCTATTTTTAAACCATCAGTAGCCAATGTCGTTTAAATTGAAGACATTAGAATAATGGAGTGTGTTACAGTCAAAATTTTGTTTTCCCCATAGTTTTAGCGAATTTCCCATATAGGGAATGAAGCTATGTAGTTTGCTTGTTTATGAACATATTTTGATCAAATTTTGAAAATGCATTTATTGCTTACTAAACTATGAACATAAAAAAAACACACCTTTACCCTCCCTGTTACAGCAAACCTGTAAACAGCAAACGCCTTCTTGTTAAACTAATTCTGTTTTAATAGGGAATAAATGTAATATTTTTTAAGGAGACATTTAAGTCTAAATCCAATCAGGGAAATAGAAATTCGCATAGTCTCCAGGTTTGCTACGGTGGGGGTACTTTGTTTTGAGATCCCCAGAGGCCAAAAAACACCGTTCGCAGCAAGATCGGACTATGAGAATGGATGTTTAGGGGGGGGGGGGTTATGGGGATGAAAATTGGGTTTTCCTATTTTCACCCTAAAAAGTTTGCTTGTTTATGGATATATTTTAATGTAATTTGGCAGTTTTGATTATTTCATACAGAGCTATCAATAAACTTTCCACCGTAGCATCAAACCTAGGTACTCATAAAAATTAATTTTATTTAAATATGAAATAAATCCGACAACTTCAAGGGAATATTTTGGTGGAATTCTAGCCAGGTAAATGGAAATTCGCTTAGTCTGCAGGTTTGCTGCGGCGGAGGTTTACACAACAGTGCTTGTTCATGAAGTATCAACCCGTATGACACCCAAGCTGTTGTTTTATTGTCATTCAGTACAGATCCATCAGTGACACAGACACTGTAGGGGGGGGGAGGGCTCAGCTGGAGGGTACAACGTTGTCATGGATATTTGATGACCTGCTCAGCTGAGCCCCAGCCTGGCGCGTGTGTAGAATCTAACACAAGTATGAATACTCTTGATAGTGTGAGGTGTTTAATCAAAAGGTGGATTTGTGTGCAGTACTCAGGACTAAATCTAAATCCACATCCACGTTGGTTTCAAGTGTGTCCGAGTGAATGCGAAAACTACACGAACCTGGTTGAAATTAGTTCTTGCATCTGTCCAGCTTATAAGGGCTATTCATGATGTAAATATTTCAGGACAAGCACCATGAAGTCCAATGTTTGGAGGCTCAGCTTTTAAATTGTTAAACAAACTGTTCAATATCCTTTGGTTTGTCTGATGACTACCGGTTTCGTCACATCATCAGGTCGGTCCTCGTTAAACGATATCTCGAAACAAAACAGTACGGTATGACTAAACACTTATACGGTGTTAAATATCGTAGTTTCTTTAGATAAACCTGCACTACTAGTAAGATGCACATTTTACTGCCATACATTCTTTTTTTATATGTATGTGCCTGTCACCAACTGCATTAGAATGAAAAGGTATACTGTTTTATATGTTGTATAGTGATACAATTTACTGATAAATGATGTTAAAATGTTTGGAGTATCAATTGAACATCGCTGACAAGTTGACCAGGCTTTTGTTAGGAATAAATATATTTTAATTTTAATTTAAACACTAGTTGTTCGTCGTTTAGAAACATTGGAATTCTAACCTAGAAAACGATTAAATAGTCACGAAGTGATCGTCTATGTCGACTATTGCAATTATGAAAAATGAATATGCTAACGAACAAATCATGTAAACAAAAACAACAGGCATTATTTCCAACTCTTCTGTAAAACCAAATTCCATATCTAAATTTCAAATAACCCCCGCTATTAGCTCTAAATGAACCCCGGGACGGTAATGTAACGCCTTAAATGTGAGTTTTGCATTTGCATTTGGGTCGCTTTTACATTTACATTTTCCTTCCCTTCTTAGAAACTTAAACAATTTGTCGTCTTTCGACGACCTGCCAACTTTCCATAACCGTTTCGTAACGTTCGTTTTGTTCCAATTAAGAATCATAGTTGGTCGAGTCATACACAGACACACCTCAGTACTGTGAAGGAGACATTATATTCTCATCTTAAAGCTGTTTTAAAATCAAAACAATACAATAATATCCACTTTGAGTACCTAAGGCTAAAATGTTATCAAACATAACATTGCTGCGTAAAAACTACCAACTATACCCCAATAACCAAAACCGAAGCGAACGTTTACATATCTATATTCCAAACGGCCAACAGTGCATGGCCTTAAATATTTATAACAAGCTGTACCAATTAGTCGTATAATGGCTACGAAATAACTTAACGTGGATTTCGACCAAGTCGACTGTAGCGCCTTTACTTCCCGTTGTATAATGAATACATCTCCTGTTGGCTAATTGGTCGTTAGTAAGAAGTGCATCAGATGTACACTCGGTGCAACAGACAATTAGCCACATCAGAGGTGGTTATAACTGCATTAGACGTACAATTACCTCTCTGTACAATCCTGCTGTCTACAAACACAGCAGTGACTTGGTTGGATATAACTGGTAACCAACAACTACGACAGAACCTCTCCTTCGTGCTGCTGGGCATTATGTTGTGACTTGGTTGGATATAACTGGTAACCAACAACTGCGACAGAACCTCTCCTTCGTGCTGCTGGGCATTATGTTGTGACTTGGTTGGATATAACTGGTAACCAACAACTGCGACAGAACCTCTCCTTCGTGCTGCTGGGCATTATGTTGTGACTTGGTTGGATATAACTGGTAACCAACAACTACGACAGATAACTCCTTCATGCTGCTAGGCATTATGTTGTGACTTGGTTGGATATAACTGGTAACCAACAACTGCGACAGAACCTCTCCTTCATGCTGCTAGGATTTTGTTGTTACTTGGTTGGATGTAACAGGTAACCAACAACTGCGACAGAACCTCTCCTTCGTGCTGCTGGGCATTATGTTGTGACTTGGTTGGATATAACTGGTAACCAACAACTACGACAGATAACTCCTTCATGCTGCTAGGCATTATGTTGTGACTTGGTTGGATATAACTGGTAACCAACAACTGCGACAGAACCTCTCCTTCATGCTGCTAGGATTTTGTTGTGACTTGGTTGGATGTAACAGGTAACCAACAACTGCGACAGAACCTCTCCTTCATGCTGCTAGGATTTTGTTGTGACTTGGTTGGATGTAACAGGTAACCAACAACTGCGACAGAACCTCTCCTTCGTGCTGCTGGGCATTATGTTGTGACTTGGTTGGATATAACTGGTAACCAACAACTACGACAGATAACTCCTTCATGCTGCTAGGCATTATGTTGTGACTTGGTTGGATATAACTGGTAACCAACAACTGCGACAGAACCTCTCCTTCATGCTGCTAGGATTTTGTTGTGACTTGGTTGGATGTAACAGGTAACCAACAACTGCGACAGAACCTCTCCTTCATGTTCCTAGGCATTATGTTGTGACTTTGTTGGATATAACTGGTAACCAACAACTACGTCAGAACCTCTCCTTCATGCTGCTAGGCATTAAGTTGTGACTTGGTTGGATATAACTGGTAACCAACAACTACGACAGATCCTTCCTTCATGCTGCTAGGATTTTGTTTTGATTTCTGTTTATATTTCGTTGTTGTTTCGTCATCAGCATGACAACCCATAAGGTTAATTTGTAAAATTCATATTCATTCTTTGTGCTTATTTTTGAGCATATTTAAATTTATAAAGGGATTCTGCACATCTACAGTAAAATATCTTTCTAGTATGCGTAGATTTTCCCTTGAGATGCACACGAGCTGAGAAAAAAGGTTTTATCTAGGTTATATAAAAGGTGACCTTTCTGGGCACTATACCTCGACTTTTAAAGAACAACGTAGTTAGGAAACTGATTTTAGCAAACGGGTTTTAAGTTTTACATTACTAAAAATT